TTTTTTTTTTTCGAACGATTTATTAAACAACAGTGACTCTTTTGAAGAAACTTCAACATTGAATTTTGGGATAAAAGGGAACAACTTCTTACGATTTATAGCATTAACACTTTTTATAATATACAAGGTCAACTTTTTACGAGTATATATTAATATCACTAAGGTTATAATCAAATATTTATGTTCCGAGAGAAACGTCTCGTTCATTCGGAATTTCCTTTCATTTTCAAATCGTTGGATGTCGAAATAATTCTTGCGTAGGTTTTACAAAGACACTCGGCTCGTGTGATTTCGACGAACGACATCAACGAGGGAAAAAAATCCACGCGTCGTTAGGTATCTCATTCATCATACTATCAACCCAATTGCTACGAGAAACACGAAAACGTGGAAAAGGAATTATTTAAAAAGAAACAGAAACCGTAGAACGGTTTGAATTCATAATTTACTAACAGCGTGATAGAATAATCTTCCAAGAGAAGAAGAAGAAGAAGAGAAAAAAAGAAAACTCATGAGACTCGTGAAAATCAATTTCAATCAAACTTTCGTTCGATATATAAATAAATAAGCGTCAACAACTATCCACACAGAGTTCTACACGTGAAAAGGAAAAGAGAGAGAGAGAGAAAAAAGAAGAGAATCATAAAGAATTATAAAGAATAGAACCCGGATAAAAAGTCGTAAATAGCTTTAAAATTATCGATGAAAGAAGCACGGAAAGTGCAAGACTTCCTTTGAAAGAGAAGAAATGGTGTCGCGACCACCAACAGTAATATTAATAATAATAATAATAATAATAATAATAATAATTTCTAACGAGTTGAACTTGCGTTCTCTTCGGGTTCGAGACCAGTGACACGAACAGAAACAAGATATCTCGTGTAATAAATCGCGCAACATATACATATATATAAATTTTTCTTTTGCATATTTATATGTATATATATTAAAACAATCACTAAAAAATATAAATATATTTATATATTTATATTTGTATATATAACTCTTGCCGTTTGACGGCTTAGCTGCCTATACAGGGCTGGACGGATGCGGCGAAGTAAGTATTTCATTGATACTTCGTTCCTCGAACGGAGGAACCGCCGAGTTAAACCTACAGATGCGACCGAACAAGGAGTGTACAGTGGATAGGGAAAGACACTAGAAAGATTGAGAAGAAAAGAAGATAATTAGAAAGGAGGGAAACGCGTGGGACGGGGATGAAATTGAAAGGAGAGGAAAAAAAGAAAAGGTGGAGAGGACGTATCACGTATCCTGCGACTTGCAAGGCCCACGACTGTGTTGTTACTGAAACGCGCCATTTCACAATTTCTTTAGTTAATTTCATTGTTGCTTGCTTGTTCGTATCGCGAGTGATACGAAAATTTCGAAGCGAATGGTTCCAGGTTCTTAGAAATGTTTGAATTCAACATTCGTTCGGATTTACGAGCGACAGTGGATAGTTCTAAAGCAAAGTCTAAGTGAAATATCTCTCAGTTAGTAATCACTTCAAATAATCAGGCAAGTCAGAAATAATTCCAACGACCACGTGTTATCGATGAAATACATTCAGAGGAGGAACACGTGGCTAAATATTGCTGATATTGATACGTTATCGGCAACAACACGTCAGTGTTAGCGAATTTAATCCTACATACTTTTAAATTGTACGCCAGATCGCTGGGCTAAGTTTCGATCTCTTCGCGCTTAAAAAGAAAAAGTTAATGATAGTTAACAATCTTCTCCCTTTACGATCTCTACAACGTAATACCCATATCGGTATCATTGCTATTCCAACCGTGACGTGAAATCCGAATTCGAACGACGATAGTATCGACGATCGTTGTTCCTTCATGCTCACCAGCTCGATTCGTTTCGCATAAATGTACGGAGTGTAACACTCTCGCATAAATAGATTCAATTTAGCCTGGTGGGATTAAATCCCTTCGTCAAATACCATTATGAACGTATCTCGTGTGGATATCGATTATGATTTCGCCCACTTAATTTTCCCCTCCGTTGTTATACTCGTCGTTTAGCGACGCGTATAATCTTGATTAAACAATTATACGTCGCTGGACCATTTATACGCGCGTTCGATACGGTTTATCGTTCGATTAAATTCCGCTAACCATTTGCGGTCCAAATGTGTGTGTATCAGATGATGTCCCGTGATCCTGGAATATTTACCGAAAGTTCAGTAACTAGAATTTCATTTCATTTCATTTCTCGTTCATTTTCTTCGCTCGGTCTTTTTTTTGGAGATTTTTAAACGAAGATCTGTCTCGCTTTGGAATTTCGATTTCAACGAAAAATCAATTAGGTTCTAAGCTAAGTAGTGTCCAATTGTGTTGTCAATGAATCAATGAATATTGGCTTCAGATACAAATTCATTTCAGACTGGCATAAATCGTTCATCGTCCACAGGGTTAAATTATTCTCTGCGATTGTCTCGCCTATTTTCCAATTAAAAACTGTTACTATCCTCTTCGGGATGTATTTGTCCTTCTCCAGGCATTTGAAACACCAGACTGAAGTTCAATTTGAAGATCTTCAAGTATGACCGATACATTTTTAAAGAAAAGACCGAGAAGCATGTGATTAGCAGAATCGTTCAATATCTAATGTCTTCGACACTTCTGTGAAATCTTTTCGCAGCGAGCAATCGACGCGGGTTTGAAAAACACAAGCTGAATTTCCGGGACAGATTACTGCGGGAAGCCATCAGACCGCAAAGGGTTAATTTCTTTTGGTTCACGGTTGAAACCACGCTGGGAACTTAAATCGTAATCCCACAAACTGGCTGGATCTTCTCGATCCTCGTCTGGTCGAGGGCTCGAAATCTATCATTTCCCGGTATCAATTTCGAACGAAGTAAGACGCGAGAAGAGAAAGTGAAGTCTCTTCGATAAATAACGACGTGCACGTCTGACGAACAATGCAAGAAAGAACGAAAAAAAAAAAAAAAAAGAACGTAAGAATGTATAGAAAATTGTCGCGATGT